AATTCATTCATGGTCAGAGCTAGGGTTGAATACCAGTAGCTGACTTGCTCACCAGTTTTCAACTCTCGACCATAATTATTAAAGATTGTATCTCTAAACCTTCACGAATCCGTGACGGATAAAATGCGTAATTGGCGTACGAAAAATAATATAAAAAGGGTTCTTAAGCAATAAAATGACTTAGCAGGAAGAGAGTGTTAAAAAAATAGATAACGATCTTATTCATTTAAACTGTAAAAAACTGTAAAGACTAAAAAAGTATTATGCTATATCTTTTATAAGTTATAAGTAGCGGAAATACATCTTAAAGCTTGTCGTTTTAATTCTAAATAACCCTTCATTTAACAAAATAAGGGGAAAACGGGGGTTTTGCAAAATGAACAACGGTACCCTGATAACCTTAATCTGGTAAATAAAGTGGAACGTAACGACGTTTTTTCCAGTTGGGAAAGGGTTTAATTCTATTGATTTTGTGGTTATTTCTGAAGCAAGAAATGCGCAAGTCACGTTTGTAGAGAAACCCCAAATAAAAAATGATTAGTTTTTATAAACAAAACCATGGATGTCTAATTTTAATCTGTGAATCTGACATACCACTCAATGGATGGTTACTTAAAATCCGATTAACAGTTCCTTTCATAATGGTGTTGGTAAATAATGTGGGTTAGAGAAAATAGAACAGAAACCCAGTAATATGATTGCAGGTTTTTTAATAAACAACATAAGTATAGGTTTAATAGAATATTTAAAATAGATTTAAATGACCCCTATTTCATCGAATGCAGGGTTATCAGTTAATAATAATAATGAAAGTCTGAAAGTAAAACAAACCCTAAATTTTAGTTTTCCACACACTTAAAAAGAAAGGTATGTTATGTTTTCTTCAGATATTAAAATAGAAATAAGTATAATGTTGAACAAATTCTAAATTCAAATATGGGGGCTTTTTCGCATCACCTAAATTGGTTGGAAGAAGGTAGGGGAATTTTCCAGGGTTTCCTCCATTTCCCCAGGTGGGGACCTGACCACAATCTCCGGGAGGGGGAATTTAGTGTGGTCCAGGGCTCCCTCCAATATCCCCCATGCATGGGTTGGGGGGAAACAGTGCAGTGGTTTCCAAAACTCATTCTTTAGCAAGCGATTTTTGTTATTGTGCTTTGACCTCAGTCTATTAATTAAATTAGTAAAAACATTTAATGATAGTAATTAAAAATGGAACTTTCCATATTACTATAAACTTTTTTAAAAAGGTTTTGGAAAACATCAATTTGTTAGGAGAGTCCACTTTTGTTTTACATTAAAGGGCATGGGGGCGGGGGCTATAAGTGAAAAAGCATGGGGGCGGGGGCTATAAGTGAAAAAGGTTGAACTAGTTTTGGATACTAATAGCATAGCTCAAAAGAAAAATTTGCAGAACAAAATTTATGCTTTTATTTAATCTTTAAATAATTTGGTTTAGATCGATTATGCACAGTAAAAAAAATCCCTATTTTTTTATCACTTTTATTCGATCGACAATTTAATTCATTTTCACATTTCGATGTTTTTGTCGCATGTTGAACACTACACTACCCCCTAGGGTCAAACGCGCATACAGGACGAAGAACAGTTGGTGCGCGCGTTCACTGCACTATATACAGAAGGAAGATTCGGACTAGAGCACTAGCTGTCCGACATGCGCTTTCTAGCGCGCACTCTATGGATTTAATTGGGGGAATAGGGGACTCACGAAGTATACCTGGAGTTGAAGGGGGGGATAAACCGCAGGGAAAATGGTATACCAATCCTTTACATATTGAATATTTACAATCAACATTACATTCAATCTTTCAATAAATAATTCAATATCAAGTCATCACGATTTATTTATCCATTTCATTCATTCATTAATTCATCTGTCCTAATCAAAAATCTATTTATCCCTTTATTCCGAAAACACGTCTTGTCCATCTTAAACAAAATTTTACACCAAATATAAGCTGAAGTTTCTTGGTTTCCTAACAACAGAACCTGGGAAACAGGAGAACTAGGGAAACAGCGGAAACCGGAGAACCAGAAGAACCAGAAGAACCACGAGAAACAAGAGAACTAGAAGACCTAGGGAAACCACTTGAACTAGGCAAATAAGCATAACCTAAGGAACAAGAGAACTAGAGAACTGGGGAAACCATTTGAACTAGGCTAATAAGCATAACCTAAGGAAACAAGAGAACTAGAAGACCTAGGGAAACCACTTGAACTAGGCTAATAAGCATAACCTAAGGAAACAAGAGAACTAGAAGACCTAGGAAAACCACTTGAACTAGGCTAATAAGCATAGCCTAAGGGAACAAGAGAGCCAGGAAAACCAAAAGAACCTGGAAAACCAGGAGAACTTTAAGAACCAGAAGAAGCAGGAGAACCAGGAGATCCAGGAGAACCAGGAGAACCTGAAGGGCTATTGATCCGAGAAAACCAAAAGAACTAGGAGAACTTAAAGAATCAGGAGAACCAGGAGATCCAAGGTAACTAGTAGAACTAGGAGAACAATAGGAGAACTAGAAGAAACCGGAAACTATATATTTTAATTTAAATGAAAAAAAGAATGATTTCAGTACAATTATGATTTTGTCTAAGGTATTACTTTAGTGTTTTATCAATGGGTAGCTTTTTTCTATATTAAGTATCTATTTATAAAGTTGAATGAACTGAAAGAAAAGGATTCGAATTTTCTCCAGATTCAGCTTCGTTCCATTCACACGGATTAAGCATAGAAAAAGATCGTGATTTGACAAATGTAAACAAGACAAGGTAGAAACCTGGTTAGTTACCATATATATACCTGCTCCGCACCCTAGTTTCATCCCTTACTCACAAATTTAACTAGTTTCAAACATTACTCCCAGCTTTAACTAGTACCAACCCTTACTCCAAAATTTAACTAGTTAAAACCCTTACTCCAAACTTTTCTCCAAACCCTTACTCTCAACCTTACCTAGTGCCAACCTTAACTAGTCCTAACCCTTACTCCAAAACTTACTAGTCCTAACCTTTACTCCCAATCTTACTTATACCGACCCTTACTCCCAACCTTAACTAGTCCAACCTTTACTCCCAACTTTAACTAGTCCTAACCCTTACTCCAAAACTTACTAGTCCTAACCTTTACTCCAAAACTTACTAGTCCTAACCTTTACTCCCAATCTTACCTATTCCGACCCTTACTCCCAACCTTAACTATTCCAACCTTTACTCCCGACTTTAACTAGTCCTAACCCTTACTCCAAAACTTACTAGTCCTAACCTTTACTCCAAAACTTACTAGTCCTAACCTTTACTCCCAATCTTACCTATACCGACCCTTACTCCCAACCTTAACTAGTCCCAACCCTTACTTCCAACTTTAACTAGTCCCAACCTTTACTCCCAACTTTAACTAGTCCCAACCCTTACTCCCAACCTTAACTAGTCCAACCTTTACTCCAAACCTTAACTAGGCCCAACCCTTACTCCCAACCGTAACGTCACCGAACACTTTACCTCGAAGCTTACCTAGTCCCAACCCTTACTCCCAACCTTACCTAGTCCCAAACCTTACTCCCAACTTTACCTAGACCCAACCCTTACTCCCGACGTTAAATAGTCCTAACCCTTACTCCCAACCTTACATTGTCCCAACCCTTACTTCCAAATTTACCTAGAACCAACTCTTACTCCCAACTTTAACTAGTCTCAAACCTTACTCCCAACTTTAACTAGTACCAACGCTTACTCCCAACGTTAACAAGTCATAACCCTTGCTCCCAAGTTTAACGTGTCCCAATCCTTACTCCCAACTTTACCTAGCCCCAAAAATTACTCCAACGTTAAGTGGTCCCAACCCTTACTCCCAACGTTGACAAGTCCAAATCTTACTCCCAACTATACCTAGTCCCAACCCTTATTCCATCCCGTTAACAAGTCCTAACCCCTACTCCCAACCTTATCTGGTCCCAACCCTTCCTCCCAACTTTAACTAGTTCTAAACCTTATTCCCAACGGTAATTAGTCCCAACCCTTATTCCCAACCTAAACTAGCCCCAACCCTTACTCCCAATCTTACCTATACCAACCCTTACAACGTTAACAAGTCCCAACCTTTAATCCGAACTTTAACTTGTCCCAACCCTTACTACCAACTTTACCTAGTCCCAACCTTTACTCCCAATCTTACTTATACCAACCCTTACTCCCAACATTAACTAGTCCCAACCCTTGCTCCACATTTAACTAGTCCCAACCCTTAATTCCAACCTGAACTAGTCCTAACCCTTACTGCACACTTTAACTAGTCCTAACCTTACTCCACACTCTAACTAGTCCTAACCCTTACTCCCAACCTTATCTAGTCCCAACCCTTATTCCAAACCTTATCTAGTCCCAACCATTATTCCCAACTTTATCTAGTCCCAACCCTTATTCCCAACCTATTCCAGCCCCATAAAGATATTTTTAATCAGAATTTAAAATAGAATGTTTTTTGATTAGAATTTCTAGTTTTTTAATTAAAAAATTAACGTTTAATTAATTCTCCAGAGATTTTTCACTTAAAAAATTCGTTGAAATTTGAAAAGTTAAAAAGAGAAATTAAATGTAAACATCTGAATTGAACCTTTTCATTAAAATTTCTAAAAAGCACAAATTATCAATTTGTATTCAGAACTTTAAAAATGTTTATTTTCCAGATATTAATAATTGTTGATGCAAAAGATCAATGAAGATCAAAATTCATCCTTAACTTTGGAAGTGAAGTCTAGGTAAAGTTCTTCATGTGTTCCATGATAGGATGGTTTCACAATATTATAAAGTATTTTAATGCTTATGATTTAAATATTTATAATTTTTTGGGGTCACATGATGAAAATTTTCTTGAACGACTTTATGTAAAAATTATTAAATAAAATTCTGTAGCTGTGAGAAAAACTTTTTAAAAAATATTTAGAAAAACTAAACGACATAATATTGAACGTTGCAACCCCTACCTTGAATCAGCTTGGTTATTAAGTGATGCAGATGACTGTGAAACAATGTCAGAATCAAAGCTAAAATCTATTTCATCTTTGTCGTCTTTGATTTGCTGAGAATTCTCCTTGGCATTCGTGGTAAGTTGCACACTGTCGTGAACAGAGTCACGACTGGTGGATAGGGGCAATTTACTTATATCCGGGAGACCCTGAATCAAATCCGGACTTTTCTCAACAGGTTTATGAATAGGAGCAAGGTTGTCTTCAGTTAGAAGGATGCTCTTCGCCTCTCCACGGATGCGTTCTTCGTTGGCGATTTTTTCCAACTTGCTGCAGGATTTGGATGATTCTAGAAGTTTTCGCTCAATAGCGGCATATTTTCCTTCTTTCTTGTCAGGTTTTCCTAAGGAACAAGAGAACTAGAGAACTGGGGAAACCATTTGAACTAGGCTAATAAGCATAACCTAAGGAAACANAGTCATGAGTTCAACCAGTTCAAAGGCATTAAAGCAAGAAATATGAAGTTAATTTACTAGTCTCAGTGAGCACTGAGCTCTGATGAAGGATATATTGATATGCTCATCAACATCAAGCTTAACCTCTCTACCTTCTAAGCGTTAGGCGTAACTAGATTGGGAGGGGGGCGTGCTAGTTTAGCCACATCAAGAATTCAATGTTCTTTAATAAACAAAATTAGAAACTTTGAACCAAAATATTAATATCTCTAACATTCTATTCGTAATTTCGACTAAAAAGTTAGGTTTTCATCAAGGCTCCTCAGCTAAATAATGACAGAAAAAAACACCCTTAAAAGTTTGTTCAACTCGTTTTTTATCCTTACATGCCTTTATCTGCTGTCACTGGTACGTCTTTGCCACCTTCTAGCTCAGAGTAAGAAAAGCAAACTTTTAAGGTTTCATGTAAGATATGAACAAATCGTAATTTTTATTGAATAAAATTAAGTTTGGCTTGTTCTGAACTGAAAGCAAACAAAACCTTTATATATCTAAATGGATTAGAGTAAGAATTTTTTTTATTATTTTGTATATTTGGAAGAATCCCTGTCAGGTTTAGATGATGCCTTCCCCTCTCTTCTTCTCCCTTTTCCTTCGCTTTGGTAGACAGGGTTCTTCCTGTCAGGCAGGGGGGGAGGAGGACCCTCATCCTTATCCTCATCATCCTAATAGTAGTAATAGTATTATTATTATCATTATAATTATTACGATTATGATTATTATTATTTTATTAATATTTTTATTATTATGTTTATTTTGTTAAAAATATTGTAAATACCTGTATTTGTCGTACATCCTTAGATTTGCTGAGATTTCTGAGTAATTTTGCTGCGTTCTGAAGACGAGTTGACTCTCTTCGTTCCACCTTACCACCCTTGCAGGTCTTGGAACTGGCATCTTTAGGAGAACTTGAACCACTGAAATATAAAGATTCGAATCTTGGTTTAATCATTTTACTGAAAGAGACTGTAAGGGTAATTTCAACTGACCCGATCCATGCAAAGATTACAATGCCCGATTCACAACAGTACCCGAAAAAGCTTTTACAGATCAAGTATGAATAAAATATCAATGTTTTATTTTTTTAAATGATTATTTTTAATTGCGAGTTCGCTAGAAAAGGGATTTGCGCATTTCTGCTTGCAGGAAAACAATATCAGAATTAAGCATTTGTAAACCTAGAAAACCCGACCAAATCTTCCACATTGTTGATCAAATAACAATTTTAAGGGTACCTACGTTAATTGGGCATTGCCATGTTTGCATGGATGTTCAATTGAAATTACGCTTACAGTCCCTTTGACGTCTCTTATTTCAGAACTATTGATAATCAGGACTTGAAACAGAATGGAATTCAATCCATTTGCAGAGATATGTTGTAGTATTATAAAAGATTTATCTTTTATGAATTAGACGGTCTGTTTGTTATTTATTTATTTATTCATCAATAAATAAACTGCGAAAAATTTAACGGAAACCCGATTTTTTATTAATTTGCTAAAAATGAGTATTCTGGGTCTCAGAAATATATTAAAGATAGTATTAGTTATGATCATAAATTAATAATTTAAGGTATTTTTGAATGAGTGGAAAACCCATCTTAAAGAAGTCACTGTGGAAAAGTAGCATGGCAAGATTTTATGGATCAATTACAACGAGTTTATAAACAAGATTTTACTCTTCCTCCATGACAACTATACACAAGCACTCCTTATATATTTATAATTTAAGTCCATGACACTCTGTATTACTCACTGGGCGTGAGAATTGTGATAAATACAGTGGCTTCCTTTCCCAGGTCCTGATGTTGCATCAAATCAGCCGAAATTATTCTTCTTCAAGCTACACACTACCGTTACATGTACACACGATGGGGGGGTCTTATAATGGGGTTATTACAGGGGAAACGAATAAGTTTAAAGAATCAAAAGAATTACACAAATCTAATTCAGTCAAAGACAAGACGCCCAATTGGTACATGAAGTATCTTTACAAGACGCCCCCTGGCTAATTCAACTAGCCTGGCACTTTCTTGTCTCCGCCCACTTTTTATTATTAAGACACGCCTTTCATTCAGAAACTCACAGGGAGATCATATCCGGGAATGAAAAGCTAAAATTCCCACTAAAAAAAACAGGGGGTGGCAATTTTTTTTTTGACATTTTGACATTAACTTTTCAACTTAAGTGTTACCTTTAATAATGATATAATAAAGGAAATTATTTTGCAGAGGTCTTTTTATTAAACAGTGAGACCCAAAAAACTCTGGAATTTGAAGAAATCTTATTTTATATATATTATTTGATGTTGTGATAATGTTAATGTTCAGTGCTGTAGACATGTGTACATACATTAGTGTTTCATATTTCTTGGACTATTGTGTTTAAAAATGTCCTTTCTATGGAATGTCCTTTCATCCATTAAACTGTTTACGGTCTTTGAAGGGTCCTAATAATTTATTGGAGAAATTCAGATTTTCAAGTATTAGATAAACCAATTAGGTTGGGGGGG